TTGCCTTGGTGAGAGAAGCAGATATGTGGTGTGATGGATTATCTAAAGTCTCGGTACCTGCCACCAAATGCTGTTTCTGCCCTGCTGTGTCTGGGTCAGAGGAGGTGGGACAATATAGTGACAGGATACCAGAAGTCAGCGGTGGAGGTCAGCAGAGGTCAGCAGAGCTCACGGAAATGGTCAAATCATGCAACTCTAGCCTGGTTATAAAACGAACCATCTCAGGAGCAGGAGGGGGAACGTCACCATCATCCGAGAAGAGCCAGGAGAGCAGTGTGGCCTTTGGACCCCAAGATCCCCACACACTGAATCTCCTCAACCAGGGACAGAGCTATGACACCAGCGTAGGGCCAGAGGGACAGCAGCTGTAGGCCCTTGAACCAGAGCACGAGACGGAGCAGGGGGCTTCCCACCCACAGAGCAAGCAAAGCTGAGTGATTCTGGGCAGGAAGCTTGCTTGTAGAGTGGGTCACCTCTGGGGACTTCAGTAGTGGGACTAGGTTTGCTGACCCACACAGCGAGAGCCGAGTGCTTTCAGGCTGAGGCTATGACGGAGCTGCATGTCCTGCAGGCATTTATCAGCAACGGATTGGAACACCTGTGCCCCGAGCCTTTCTGACCCATAATTGTAACTTCCCTGAAAACCCCCGTAACTGTAAATGTGCTGTGTGCCCGCTCCAATGGCATATTGACCCCAGATGAGAAAGAGAGAGTTGCTGGAGGGATGGTTAGTAATTTATATTTTTGCTCATTATTACTAAGTACTTTGGAGTCCGTTCCGATTCATAGCAATCTTGCATAGGGTTTCTGGTGGATTTGAACCACGGACCCTGGGGGTTAGCAGTGCAGTGCTTATCCTACATCGCCACCCCAGGACTCCAGTGTTGCATGTGGCCACTCTAAAAGTAACCACTGTCTGACACAGTGAGTTCCAGCATGTGCTGGTCCTGCTTTTCCCCAGCCTTGTCCTTGTCTCTGGAAATGAAAGTTCTGATAATCGCCCCATGTTCTCATGTCTTCCAAAATTAGATTAAATCTCCCACTAGATGCATCAAACTACACTAAATTCCATTAGCAAACCAGGCCTGCTGTTTGATGAGCTAAAGCTCCGGTACACGATGGGAATCTGAATTATGTTGCCAGCGAAGAATGCTGGCGATGCCAAGGACTGTTAAAAGAATGAACGGCCTAGACGGAAGTACAACCAGAGTGCTCCTTAGAAGCCAGACGGCCACACTCCGTCTTGCTTACTTTGGAGACGTCATCAGGACAGAACAGCCCTAGAAAAGGTCGTCACGTTTAGTAAAGAGCAATTCAGTGACCACGAGGAAAGCTCTCAACCTGAGGGACTGGCTCTGCGGCTGCACCCACAGACTCAACCATGACCACAATGGTGAGGAGGGCATCGTGTGCAGGAACCAACTCGATGACACCTAACAACACGCAGCCAGTGTCACCAGAGCCTCGGCAAGGTGAGCGGCCGAGGTACCTGCTGAGCTGTGACCCCCAGGAGGTCAACCACACATGTTCCAAGGGAAAGGACTCAGGAATGAGACCTCCAAGAATGGTTCTCACCACCAATGGTTTTGACAAAATCCATCCAACCGCAACTCAGCCAGGAGGAGGAGCTGAGGTCAGGGGCTGACAAGCATGGATGGACGATGGATGGGCAGCTCGGCCATGGGGCACTGGTTTTCTCAGGCACTGTGCACACACCGAGGCAAGGCAGGCCTCAGCCCCAGCACTCGGTCACTCAAGAACGTCCACCACCCTTTTGGTGGATCCCCGGCCTGAGAGCTCTTGTCTGACCTTCACATTTACTTGGGAAATTTCTATCACTGACTGTCAGGGATTGAATGGTGTCTCCCCCCACGTGTCACCTGGCTGGGCCACGGTTCTCAGTGGTTTGATAGTTACCTGCTGATGTCCTTTGGCCATTATGTGATGATGGAATCCTCGCATGTGAGCGGAAGGGCATCTCCCTGGGGTGTGGCCTGCACCCCTTTTCATCTTATAAGAGGTAAAAGGAGAGGGAAGCAAGCAGGAAGGAGGGACCGTCTACAACCATGAAACAAGAGTCAGGAACGGAGGTCCTGTGCTGGAAAGTTCTGGAGCCTATGGGAGGACTAATACTGAGGTCTCTGGGGATCTCCAAGAACACCGAGCCCACAGATGTTCCTCTAGCGCCAATACCTAGAGAAAGCCGTCTCCTACAGCCAGCACCCTGAATCTGGACTTTCAGCCCCCTAAGCTGTGAGAGAACATTTCTATTTGTTAAGCCCACCCTCACCCCACGCCCCTGGTATATTTCTGTTCTGGCAGCACCAAAGCACCGACCGGTACCTCCCAGGGCGGCGACGAGGCCTCTGTCTTCATTTGTTACTCCTGCAGGGAAGCAGGGTTGCTTGGGCCTTCCTTCTGCCTGTGAAACGTCTGTCTGGGAGGACTGAAGGCTCCCCCACAGCATCCCCAAAAGGATGGGTGGCTCACGTGTGTGTTCAGCCCCCACGTCAAGCAACGGCTGCGTGACTAGAGTCCTCTCCGATTTCAGAGCTGAGTCAGAAGTTTCCCTCACTTAGAGTCACCTGAAGGCACTGACCTCAGCAGAGGCATCTGGGCAGCTCCTGCCCTGGGGTCCTTGTCTTTGGGGACCTCCAGCTGCAGCTTCAGTCTGGACCTGGAGCGCAGGCCTCAGAGCTGCCCCATTCTGCTCTCCAGCCTTCACCTTCACCGGTCACACCTGCCTCTGATTGGCATCTTTCCCATGGCCTGGGCCTTCATGCCCCAACCTGGACTGGACAGTCCCTGAGGCCAGCGCTCTCTGGTGGCCTCACTCCCCCCAGACACCCTGCATTGTCATCGGGAGCCTTCTTGTCTCCTAAACTCTGTCCAGCTGAGAATCTCTTTCTTTGTCTTTCCCAGTGTCTAGAGTAAGTACGGGACTATTAACCAAAACATTGGTGGTTCAAACCCACCAGTTGCTTCTTGGAAACCCTTTAGAGGGTGGCTATGAGTCAGGACTGACTTGACGGCACTTGAGAACAACAGAGGCACTATAGGATAAGCACTAGATTGCTAACCGCAAGGTCAATGGTTCAAGCCCACCAGTCGCTCCTTGTAAATCCTACACAGAGTCAGTGTGAGTTGGAACCCACTCGATAGCACTTAACAACACAGGTGCCGGCACGCCTTGGCTTGTGGCCCCCTTGCTCCATCATCAAAGCCAAGTCCTCACAGCCCATGACATAGGCCCCCTCTTCTGCCTCCCCTGCCTCATCTTTCAGGAATCCTCTGAGTCGATCAGACCCACCCAGAGCAGTTAGACCACTCTCCCCACCGCAAAATCAGCCTACAGGCAGCCTTCCTACCTGAAGGAGCCCTAGTAGCACAGTGATTAAGCACTTGGTTGCTAACCCACCATTGGTGTTTTCAAACCCACCAGCCACTCTGGGAGAAAGATGAGGCAGTCTGCTCCCGGAAAGACGACAGCCTGGGATACCCTGTGGGTCAGTTCCACTCACAGGATGGCTGAGAACAGCACACACCAAGCTCCATCTGCAATCTTAGGCGCCCCCCTCACACCCCCCACCCCCTTTGCTAGGTGGTGGCTGTGTGCTGTGGAGTTGTTTCCGATTCATAGTAACCCTGTACAGTGTTTCTGAGGCTGTAAATCTTTACAGGAGCAGAACGCCTCATCTTTCTCCTGCAGAGCAGCTGGTAGTTTCAAACTATTAACCTTGCGGTTTGCAGCCTGATTCGTAACCACTACGCTACCAGAGCTCCTAGAGACCCTAGCATATTTGCTGCTTCCAGGGATCTGGACAAGGACATCTTTGGGTGGGAGGCATCACTATTCTGGCTGCAGACCTGAACTGTCTGCGATCTAGGTAAGCAGAGGTTTTGCTTCTTGTCCCTCACATTGCCTTGGTTTTCTTTATAAATAGGAGACTCGGCTACCTTGCCCCTGGGTTTCTATTTGTAGCCATCTTGCTATTTGGCTACAAGGTTGGCAGACTTGTTGGGATCAAGCACTAAGTGTTCCTATTTGGGCTTTAAGTGGGGCAGAGCCGTTGGGGGCGGGGCCTCCATTTCTAACCACAGTCTCCCAGGAGCTAACTGCTTTCTATAATCCATCTCCACAAATAGGCGATCGTTTAGCGAAATCAGGGGGTGTTCTTTCCCTGGGGGAACGTCCACTATGTCAGCCCTGGACGGTGATCAGAAGCAAGCTTTTATTTTAATACAAATTACTCAGCTGAGGCTCAGGGCCAGTTAGCCTGAAGAACAGGCAGATCTGATTGTTAACAACCAGCTTGCTCTCAGCACCCGCCGCCTCCCCCACACTCCATTTCTGACTCTGGATGAATTTCACAATTTAGGCATTGAGACCCTAAATTCTGGGATGGTCCCTCAGTGGAACTGGAGGCTAGATTCCCATTATTACCTTTTCAGGGTGGTTCCCTTTTCCCTCACTCCCCCCCCAGGCACCCCAAAGCAGAAATAAAGATGAGACTTTGGATCAGGGAACCCCCAAGTTGTGACCCCTAACGGAGCCCACTCTCTTGGGAAGGGTCTGAGGTGCCAGCGTCAGCCTGTGGGTGGGAGGTAGGGGATGGTCCGGCAGAGTGGACAACCCTCCCAGTGACCCTGTCCCCATCATTCCTGGAGCAATAAGAACTTGGTGGGTGGGGAGTGTGGCTGGAGGGAAGTGGCAGGGATACCCCTGCAGACCGGATTCCTACCAGAACCGTGGCCCTGAGACACCCCCTCCTCCCCCAGCAGCACTGGTGCCCTGGCCCCTGCTCCTCAGAGCCCCACTGTGAACAAGACCTGACCCTGCACCAGGGTAGTTTCCTGCCTTTCACACTTCCACTCTCGCTTCCCCCCACCCCACCCCCGCCCAGATCCAGCCAGGGGCTGAGTTATTAGGACACCTGACACAGGAGGGGTGGGAACGCCTACCCGCCTGCCCCATACCCTGCCAGGGACGCAGAACTCACTCGATGGTTTTGCCCCAGTCGCACCAAAGAGTCCTCCCCAGGGCTTCCATGTCCAGCTGGAACCGCTCGAGACACATCTCCCGGATGAAGGGACCATAGTTGGCGTCCTGGCAGGCCGTGGCCACCACGAGAAGATGCACTGTGGGGACAAGGATGCAGGGGGTCGTCAACCCACAGTCCTAGCCTTGACCGAGCGGCCACATCCAAGCCACCCCACTAGGCGACCACGCCCACTCACAGCTCTGCTCTGCCCTTGATCCAGTGACCACGCCCACCCACAGCCACACTCACCCTGCACCAAGCAGGAGACCAGGTCCAGCATGGCCCCTCCCAGATAGTCACACCCACACAAGCGTCTCCTCTCCACAGCTTAGTGGGTCCACAGTCCCCTAAGCCACGCCCACTGGCACCTCCCAAAGCCAGGCCCACCAAAGGCCTGCCTACTGCAGCCACGCCCACTGACAACTCATTAGACTGGTCACGCCCACCCTCGCCCACCCCCACACTCACACACACACACAACTCACAGCCCTTCCCAGTAGCCACGTCCCCTCTCATCCCCTGCCCGGGAGGTCTTGCCCACCCATGGGCTTACTCCATGACCACTCCCACACTAGCCTCTCCCTCTGTCATGCCTACCCTGGACCCTGAGCCATGTCCACCCCTGGTCCTGGACCACAGAAGGCAGCTAGGATCCCACTGCACCCCCAGCTGCTGTGAGCAGGGACTTGCTGGGAGACTCTGCCCCTTGTCCCCAGAACACACTCTGGTCAGTGAAGGGCATTTTTATACGACCTAACAACCCTCAGGCCCCCAGCCCAGACTGGAGAAAATCACTCCCTGAGATGGAAACCCAGTTGCTCCCACCACCACTAGGCCCTCCATGTCCAGGTCTCTCCCACCCTCAAGGAGGACGGCTTGAGAACCCTGGCCGTCTCCATACTCCCCAAGGCAGGCCCACCCAGCCTTGCAGAGCCCAGGAATCCCACATGGCTTGTTGAATATTTCCAAGGTATAAAGTCAGCTATCTGTTCCATAAACTCCGTTCTACACTCCCACGGGATTAAACATGATTTACCAAGCAGCTCATTGCACAACATCGCAGTTTCCTCCATCTCCCCACCCCCAAGTCTGTGATGGTGAGTTTCCCTTTGTTTCCTCCTGGATGCAATGTTACCTTCTCAGTCTCTCAACTGGACTGCACCTGAGGGGGCTCTTCCCATTCCCTGTTCCAGATCTGGCTGTTCACCCAACTGCTGCCCCCACTCCCACCTCCATTACATCCTTTGCCCACAGGGTGCCCCAGTCTCACCACTGCCAGCACTGTGCTTCCAAGTTCCTGGAAGGCACCTACTGATGAGTAGGTAGATAAATGTGTAGACGAGTGGATAGATGGATGAGTGGATAGAAGGAAGAATGGGTGGGTGGGTGGATGAATGGATGGATGGGTGAGTGGGTAGATGGAAGAATGGAAGAGTGGGTGGGCAAGTAGATGGATGGATGG